TAGTTTGTCTTAAGCCCTGCCTAGAACAATATGTGAAGCAGACCACTGTGGTTTTAAAAACCATGTTTTAAAACTTAATGAATATTAATCTAGATGATTCAGCTTATTTGACTAACTGTGGTAAATGAAGCCATGGCTAAATACCATCTGTGAATACTCCAGGTGCTTTTGCAAAGTGAACTTCGTGACTAAGAGGTTGTAGATCTTGTCCTCCCTTTAATATTCTCTAATATAAACAGGATTAAATCCCTTCTCAGATGATCCTCCTGCCACGGCTGTAAAGTTATGTCAGGGGGAAACCACAACACCATGGGAATTGTCCAATGGGGAGATATTAATCCTAACCACTTCACTTGTCTACTTAAAAGGATCCTTTGCAGTCATAAACTTCCAAACGCCTTTTAATGTGCAATAAATATAAGTTTTCTACCCACCTGTACAGAGATGACCTATAGCAAACGTGAGCCCAATCTGGGAAAGCAGGAAAGCATAAGAAAGAAGCTGAAAACTGCCCAGCTTTAATTCTCTTGGTTTAAGGGGAGGGAAAATGCTGTTGAATTCTCAAAATTCTGTTACTATAGCCTATATCAATAAAATATATCGAATTCTGGTGGTGCCTATTTCTTGATCTAGCTTTCCTTTAAAGGCTGACACTTGTCCAACCAAGGAGAATCTGACAGGAAGTATCCAGACAGCTGCTTCCTGAATCTGGAAAATAATTGTTTTGATAGCTTTTTTTCTGAACATCTAGGATAAAGTTCAGGTGGATTGGTATTTTCGTTCAAGGTATGAAAACCAATGATTAAAGTATAAACCCAAAGATTTCCCCACATATACCTAATTGGGCCATTGAGTCCAATGGATAAATACAAGAGAGAAAACATTATGCTGGGCTTCCTAATGCCTAAATATTTTAAACAGATCCAGTCTGAGTCTACCGCTTCTACCTCATTAATGTTATTTTCCCCCTTAATTGAAACATCCACTTGATTCATCTTTCTCTTATGTATGTTTATAGTCTTTTCTAAAACATTTCTTTTTTAATCTAAAGTACTCATGGGTAAGATATTCTATATCAAATAATGATAAATGAATAAGAAGCATCATGTTTAAATTTCACTATAGGAAACACTCTTCTTAGGTTCCATGAAGTAATATCTGGAGTAATGACTTTATTGTCTATTCACCAGTTAGGTTATTGGCCTTCCTGAGAAATGTGGGGAGAATGATGACACCTTGATTGAATTTTCTGCACAAATGACTTGACAATAAGAACAGTTTTTTGCCACTGAAGTCAATGGTCCTAAAAATAGGCTATAGGATGAATGTGAAATAATGAAATATTTCAGCTGATGTTCTCATCATTCACTGACCAGGTACCTGTCCAGAAACACACATGATCTGGTTTTCTTGAATGCTGGAACATTGTGGCCCTTAAATATTTGTCAAGTTTTAAATGTCAGTGAAAATGGATTTTTCTTCTCCTCAAAGTAATGGTGTTAGAAAAGTAGTAAGATGCTACCAATCCTTGCTGCTGCAAATGGTGACTCCAATCATCTGACATACTTGAAGATTCTGATTGAATTGTCATAGTCTATTCTTTCCATTTCCATTTCCATTTCACCTTATCTTCTTGCATTTTAATTTTATGCAGCAAAGAGCAACCAGAATGACTGGGGAGTTAGAGAAGCTCCCATACAAGGAAGACCTAAATAATCTGGTGCTTTTTATCTTAAGCCAAGGAGTGAGATGCAAGGTAACAAAAGAGAAGTATATAATATCAGCTTTTCTTCCACTTCCATGAGCAAGTAATTTATCGAATCTAAATACAGTTTTTTGTTTAAAAAACCAATACATTTCAATGTGGCATACCACTGTTGCATACTAACTCTTGAGGCACAAGAACCCCTCCTTAAATTCTTTCTTGGTGATAGCCATCCATGCTTTGATTACCATTAGCAATAGCAATAGACTTTTATACCGCTTCACAGTGCTCTACAGCCCTAAGACCTCCAAGGTCTCCTATTCTATTCTATTCTATTCTATTCTATTCTATTCTATTCTATTCTATTCTATTCTATTCTATTCTATTCTATTCTGTTCTGTTCTGTTCTGTTCTGTTCTGTTCTAAGCTAAGCATACAGTATTTTCTGTTCCTATCATGGGTATTTGACCACTCCTGATTCCAGTAATGGTTTCCAGCTAATTTTCTTCTCTTACCACCGCACTTATTTGCAAATGAAACTACAATATTTTTTCCTAAAACCTATCCTCCCTGTATAAATTTCTCTGGCTGAATATGATTACAATCCCCCATAGTCAAGTGTTTTGTGCAATCTAGATTTTCAGAAATCTTTCCTGTCAATTTAAGGTTAGGATATATGGAAGCAAGACTCAACATGCCTCTTTCTTTCTTCATTATTTTTTCTTTTTTCTTTTTCTTTTTTTTTTTTGCAGATATCTGAAGAACACTAAGAGACTCAGCCAAAGTTCAGAAAGATCAAAAGCTGCTCATTTATTGCTTGGCGTATTACTTTATTTGCTTTCTGCTTTATTTTATTATGTTGGTGAGTACCGTATTTTCCGGCGTATTAGATGGCCTGGCATATAAGACGACCCCCAACTTCAGAGCCGATTTGAATGCCTAAAAAGTCGTCTTATATGCTGGAAACTACTGTGATTTCCAGCATATAAGACGACCCGCAACTTCAGAGCTGATTTGAATGCCTAGAAAGTCATCTTATACGCCAGAAACTACCATAATTTCCGGCGTATAAGACGACTTGGCATATAAGACGACCCCCGACTTCGGAGCCGATTTCAATGCTTTAGAAAGTCATCTTATACGCTGAAAAATACGGTACTCCAAGTAGTAATAAAATTTGAAGAGTGCAATAATGCATTGATTTGTAAATGTAGTACTAAAATCAATCAGCTATTAAAAGCCTAAGAAGCTTTACAATGAGATGCCTGCATTCCATAAATGTGTCCCAAATGCAGGAGATTATCTCCCCTTTATTGCCAAAAACAGAGGTCCTATAGATCTGATTAGCTAAACAAATTACAAGTCATGTCCCTTACATAGCCAAAACTCTTAAGGTTAACAATGAACTCTGTGTTATGCCTGGAATCATGCAGTGGCCATTCAGTGAATATTTTCTTGCACTAATGTCTATCTCTTTGAACCACGTTACTATATAGGCTAGCTGCTGCATTTAGCAACAAATGCAATTTCCAGATACATTTCAATGGTAGTCACACATACAGCCCTTTGTAAAAGTCAGTGTGATATTATTTAAGTATGGTATCATCATCAGAAAGACTGGAAGAAATAATCACAGCTGGCGTACCAGGCATAACTGCATAAAACTGCTACTTGTACCAACCCTCTCTTGGGGATTTGGTGATAATAAAGATCAGTGAATGAATCAATGAAGATTACAGTCTCAGAAAATTAAGACTATTCTTTCAGAGGGAGTCCAAAAACAGTTTAACAGGCTGGACTTTAGTATTTTCCTATATACCTTTGCCTTTCTAGATTTAATTACTGCTTGCTTTCTCTCATCCAACTCATTATCAGGTATAAAAAATATTCAACAGTAGCTAGTCAACTGTTAACACTACAATCTACAGCTCCAGATAACCTCCATAAATAATCTCATGAAGATGTAAAACAGCATGTAGGATAGATTGGAACCCTGTGGGTTACTATACAGGTAGTCCTCAACCTATGACCACAAATGGGAGAACATCTATCACTAAGCAATCGGGTTGTTAAGTGAATCATAACCAATTTTGCTACTCTTCTTGGTTAATACCATTGCTAGGCTGTTTTCTGCAGAAATTGATGCCATCCAAACAAAATGTTTCTTGGAACAAGACATTAGGGTATGTTTTCTTTCAGGCTATAAGTTACGCTAAACATGGCACATTGACTAAAACTGATTAAAAAAAGATTCCATGAGATTATTATTTCACCATGTGATAGTTCAGCAATTCATTCTGACTGTTAATTTTCAGACATCATGTCAGTAATTAATTTCAGCAATTAGTTTAAAAAACATACTTTGAGTATTTAGCTTCAGCATTTGTTTTAGATCCACCTAAATAATCCATTTCAAACCTCAAAGACAGTAAATGTAGAGTCAGTAGAATTTCTTGGTTAATTCTTTTGGACAAAAAGACTTGTATAGACATATTGCTATGCAAAGATGTATAGGCAAAACTTAATGGGCTAAGGGAGTTTGTATTTTTGAAAATGTGCATGTTTTCCAGAGCATTTTACAAACTTTTTTTTAAAAAACCCTTTCTGGCAAAAAGATTCCCCACAGTCACAGTTGTTGAGTCCGCTGCATCTCTGCAGCAGTCCTTGGAATGACCATGCAATATTGTGATTAGCATGGACACATGGTTAATAATTTTGTCTTCTCTACAACAAACACAAAACTGTATGTTTTTACTGGGTTTAGTAAAAAGAAGGAAATCTATTCTTTCTAGTGGCTGTATTCATATATGGTGTAATCAATAATATGGTTTGTTTGAATTAGTGCTGTGTGAACCTCTGTTGTGCTGCACAAACTATGGTTTATTGTGGAAGTAGGCAACTTATATAAATTAATACCTTAACTGCTTGTTATTTCAAGGATGGGAATATGTAAAATCTCTGTGTGTGATCATCTTATGCACAATTTAGTGAATGAAATTAATAGTCTGAGTTCTCACAATACACCAAACTATAAACATCTAGAATAGACAACATTAAAAAAAATACCCCTAGGTCCTCTTTAACAAATAATGGCCTCAATGCTACTCACTTCACCTCATCATCACCATCATCACCAACAACACTACCATGCTTAATATGGGGTTTGTCTCTCTCCCTCCCCATCAGTTCAGTATTCAGTGGATTAAAGCAAAATGCAAATAAAGTAGATCTTATTTTCAGATAGCAAGCACAATTAGTTTTTTTATTTCCTGTTGCCATTCAGTAAGGGCAACAGAAGGTGCTCAGGTTTCATGACTCTGCCCTTACTTCTGTCCCGCCTACAAACAGTCCTACATTTAAAGTCTTTCTCATTCTAGCTGCAGGAAAATTAACTGCAGGAAGACGGTAAGTGGAGCTGCAGAGGGCTGGAGAGAGCAGAGAAGGCAGACCAGGGGTTGTGACTGAGTCAAAGTTACCCACATCTAGTTGTTTGGGAGAGTAGAAAGTACAAGTGGCTCTTATGGAATGTGGATAACTGTTTTTGCTCTAAGTATTAGAGCATAAAAGTGAGAGATGCCTTTCTTATTTCAGAAGGAGGGAGAGACTGAGCAATTAAGGCAAAGAAAAAGAAAAGGCTAAAGAGTATATAGAATGTTAAATAGAAAAGCTAGAGAGTAAGAAAGGAGAAAACAAAACATTAAGGGAGCAACAGATAATGTTTTGGCACATGGGCCATTTTGGAATGTTGAAAAAAATGAGATGGACACACTTGCAAAATGGCCGACTTGGGAATATCCCCCATGTACACAGTGATGGTCTTGTGAGCAAGTCTAATCCCAATACAACCCATATGTCAGATGGGCCAGTCCCTCTATCTCAGCTCTAGGCATAAGGAGGCAGTGACAAACCATTTCTGAAATTTTACTGAGAAAACTACAAGGAGATTTCATGAGGATACTTTGTAAATAATTCCTGGTTTCTAGGATGCTGTTTCAAGAATCCGACTGGTTTCCATGGATCTCTCTGCCAGGACCACTCTTCCCTTTACCATCTTGTGCTGCCTATGGAATATCGAAGCCCGAGAATATACAATGGCTCTCAGTGTGCCAAATGGGGGTAACCGGGGTGACTGGGGCCCAAATGCATTTTGTGAGAGAGGCTATGCTCATGGCTTCTCCCTGAAGGTAAAGGTTTACTTTTCAGATACTCCCTTGCTTCTGAATATTCTTAAGTTTTTCATTATCTTTCAAGAAGTAATTGTGTGGATGCTTAACCCTCTTTGATTCTATAATTAAAGAAAGGCATTGAGTTTGGTCTGGAATATTGCGTGGCAGATCTAATCTTGATCCAAGATTGATCTATTGTCCAATATTTATGGGTAAATGTTGATATTTCTGAGAATTGAAGTCTGAAAGAGAGCAAGGGGAGAAAGGCTGATCTAGAACTTTATCAGGATCACATTTTCTTAGGTAGAAGAAAAGCAAGGGGCAGGCGACGATACAGCTCTGAATGGAATCCGCTTGAACTGTACCGATGGCACAGTAATTGAGTCTAAAGTTGGACCGTGAGTAACTGACTTTCTGATCATATTTCATTTTCTTGTCATGAAGAATGGCAGAGGAGATGACTGGTGCTTAGTTCACTGCTACCCAACCCTGAATGTCAGCTTTGCTGATTTTAGAAGGGGAAGGCACTGAAAGTGTTGTTAAATGACCTCTCTGAATGAACAGCTGATGCTGAAACTTGGATCAGAGATTTTTGTGTTCCTGAATGGTGTAGTGTTGTAGCTAATAGTTTGAAGGCCATAGTAAGTGTATCTCTTTTGCCCTCTTCAGTTGTTCTTCCTGACATGCATTCACTCCACCAAGAGCCCTTATGAACTTTAGTCTTCCACACAATTCTCCCATTGTGCAATTTATGAATCTGTCTGCTGTTCTTATAACTCTCCTTGTGAGGCAATATGGATTGCAGTGCTGAGCTACATGCACAAAGACATAAGTGTGGCTGCTATTAATGTCATATAATGGAATCCTGGGCCTAGCTCTTCAAAATCAAATCCCAGGCAATTCAGTCACTATGCTAGGGAATATTTTTGTTACTGTGTTAAAGAATGATGGTAACCATGTATTATTTGCAATACCTTTTACCTATTTATCAGAGTGTTTAATTATGTCCATTGTAAATGAGAGTCTTAGCAATCAAAATGCCTCAAATCACGATTAGGGTATCATTGAGCCTGTGGAATGTTGTTCCAATTTTATTTATTGCAAAATCTTCTTTCCCCAAATAAACCATGGGGAAGGGCCACATGCCAGCCAGAGGGGGCACTCAATCTTCCTGTGGAATGCCATGTTTAATGTAACTAGGGAAACTGAGATAGAACCTCAGACTTCCAGTAAGAAAATGAGGCACTGAATTTCCACATAGGACTTGCTAGCTGAATAATGACTCACCTCTTCACTGTGGGGAATAAATTCATTCAAGGATAATAGAAAGCAAAGATCTTCTTTTCAGGGGAAAGGATGCTTCAATATTGTGAGACAATTTGTAGAATGAGAAGCCCCTGATATAATGGATTCTGAACATGACATGGATTAGGAGAAGTCTTGGGAAAGAGATATAATATTCTTTATCCCATTTTTCCTAGGGGTTTATGCCAGCAGCCACAAGACCCCTTGATTCCAATTTTTTCCCTACAATAGCCCAAAGACTTAGGTTGAATGTCAACTATTATTGACAGAATTATTTAATGAATGTTGATAGCCAAAAATAGACTTTAAGTTATTCCTAGCCCCAGATTTTAGCCATTATGCCTGAACCTATTGGACTGATCACAAGTGTTTAATTTAGACAATAAAGAGCTTATCCATCTTTGTCTTTTTTGGCAGATGGGGAACCTGGACAAAAAGCCAGGTGTGTCCCAGAGGCAACCTGATTTCTTTTTCTCTGAGAGTGCAACCACCACAAGGAGAGGGTGATGATACAGCAGCTAACAATGTCCAGTTCGCCTGCAGTGATGGTACTGCCCTGATGGGACTTGGTACAACATGGGGTGAATTTGGCCCATTCAGCCATCGCTGCACCACATATGGCATATGTGGGATGAAAACAAAGGTAGAGGATGCACAGGGCATTGGTGATGACACAGCACTCAATGATGTGAATTTTTACTGCTGTTAATGGTCGATACATGTTTTCTCATCTATAAATATACTTTTGCTATGCATTTTCAAGGACTGTTAATTATAGTTAAATATTAACTTGAGAATAAAGGGTGTGCTTGGGCATAATGTGGTAGTACAAGGAAACCACCCTCAGGTGTTACGTCTTCAAACAGTCCCGACAGGGGAGACCTAAGGGAGGTAGCAGAAACCTCAAGCATTGCAAGTGATTGACTGTCTTCCCTCTCATCATTTTGATCCAAGTCACAGTACCAAACTGTAATATCATGTTACTGATTGCTTGCATGGAAATAAAATTATGTTGCATCTTCAAAGACATTGGTTTCCTTCATGTTTGGGCCACAATAATACATGTGTATTTCATTGGGTTTATTTATTCTTGTACTCTGCATTTCATTACAGAGAATACATAAATATTAGTGAAAATATGCTAGAACTTCGCCAGGATTGGTTAAGAACCAAAGAAAATTGATGCTAAAATGTTTTGATTTTTTATAAAATATAGATAATGAGCTACAAGAGAGTTTTCTTCTTAGGCAAAGACTACAAACAATCACTATTCCCAATATCACTTTTCTATTCTTTAATCACATAAAAGAATATCTCTTCCAATCCCATGTCTTTCATTTGCTTTGAATTTTTTATTTATGCATTTATTGATTTGATTTCTACTTCATCCCAATCTAATCAGGCTCTTGGTCCCCAACAAATAAACAAAAACACTATTTGTGATAAAGAAAAATGTAGCTAAACTTCCTAAACATAAATAACAAAACAATGTGTTGCACTGACCTAAACACTCTCCAGAAATGGTCTGTCCTGAGCTTCTTCTTGAAGATAGTTGGGAATTGATATCATCTCAAACAGCTGGCCTTTCCAGGGATCTGGAAGTGAAAGCAATCAGCCCCCTTGATTTTCTGAAAATGGGGAATCATCAGCTGCTGATCTCAAGATGGCCACAAGGCTGATTCCAGTAGGGAGATGTGTCATTTGCTAATTGGTATTAATAGCAGGCCAACAAAGAAGAAGTAAGCAACATCACACAATCAAGGAACTACCAAGAAGAAAACTACACTCCCACCAAACGTCTATGGAGATTCTCAATCATCCAGGTCATGGTTGTCTCAAAGGTGCTTTTTGATCTCATCAACCATATTATGAAAGAAACAGCTGATGAATTTAGGTTTAAGAAATATTCAACAGTCGCTAGTCAACTATTAATACTACACCCTACAGCTGCAGATAATCTCTGTAAATGATTTCATCAAGACATAAAACAGCATATGGGATAGATTGGAACTTTGTGGCATGCTATACAAGTAGACCTTGACTTATGATCACAAATGGGAGAACATCTGTCACTAAGCCATGGGGTTTTTAAGTGAATCCTAAGTGATTTTACAATATTTCTTGCTATGGTTGTAGTTTGCTTGTTAAAAGCCCGATAGGAAGAGTCACAAGTGACCCCAAAGTACTGAAATTTTCTTAAATACTTACCAGTTGGTTATTCACTAAAAATTGCTAATTAAGACTATCTATAAATCTTAGTGTTAAACTATAGATAACAGGTACATCCAGATTTTAATGACAAGACTGGAATCACTGCAAAACAGTATGCAAGTCTTGCAGTAACATCCTTTTTTCATTCTTATGTCATCCACCAAGGCTATCAAAGTTTCAGTACCATATTCCAACTGTTTGAAAGGGATAAAATAATCAATACAATACAGATATTCAGCATGTTATTCATTTGTTGAACAGTGTTAATGTGGAGTAATATTGATTCCTTGAATAATAAATAAATAAACAATCAAACAAACAAATAAATAAATCTATGTTTAGAGTTTTGTGTTCCTTTCAAGTTAACACTTTGTTTTCTTTGTACTGGAATGCCAAAGGATATATGTGAACATGAATTGGGTGAATTAATAAAGTGCTGAAACAAGAAGGGGGAACAATTCTCATTTAGAATATTTGCTCACTCATCTTTCTAAAAAGCATCTCCTATACCACCTCTATTTTCAGCTGAAAAAGATATAAAAATATTAAAAAATAAAACACTCCCTACCTTTGGACCTATAATGGGAAAAACATACACAATACAAAATAGATTGGGAGAAAAAGCATAACCACTATTTCCTAGTTCTAAGATCAATATTTTCATCTTGGTTTGCGCTTCATTTTCACTTATATTTACTTTGGTAACTTAAAATACCAATGAGAATGGAAGTAGATGCATCCTCCTTCAGATATAGGCCTCTTGCCTTCACATGTGCAGTTATACCCAGAAAAGGTTACATACATTCTGATCATTAAATTGAAAATAAAGTACTGGATAAATATTTACAGCCAAATCTTTGAAGCTGAGCTTCAGAACGGTTATGTTGTGCATTGTTAAGCCTTAGAGATTAGTAAGAAATGAACTACATGTTACTCATGCTATTTCTGCTTCTTGATGTTGTAAAGATTATTGATCTTAACTCACTTTGAAATGAGAAATATCTTTTTTGAAAAGATGTGGAAACTGGGCAAAATTTCAAGAATGCCCCAGAAGCAACTTCATTTTGTTTGGTCTCAACATGGTAGAACATAAAGAAGAACACTTCATGAAAGAGCAGCTAAAAATGATACACTTGTAAAACAATTGAAAAGTCTTGGACTGGGTCAAAATCAGAAATCATAATCCCTCTTCATGGTCTGTTGGTTCTGGCCACTCCAAGATTATTGCATTTAATTCTGAGCACTGCATTTTTGGAAGCACATTGATGAACTGAATGTACAGAAGAAAGCAATTACCATGTTAACAGATTTCGGGGAAATAGATATGAGGAATGGCTGGAGTCACTGAATATGTTTACTTTATAAAAGAGAAATTATGGGATAACATGATAATTGCCCTGAAGTATTTGAAGGGCTGAAATGCAGAAAAGGGGGAAAGCTTGTGGGTTTCATTCTACAAGAGGATACAAGAAATAATGAGTTTAAATTATGAACAAGATTTTCCTAATGTCAAATGAAACAGTTATGGGCCACTTTGCTTGAGAGATTGTAGACTCTTTCACTTAAACAGAGTTTGGATGGCCAGCTGCCCTAGGTACTAGGTTGACCCAGGCCTGGAACTGAATTAGATGCCCTGCAAGGGCCCTTCTAAGTTTTTAGATACTCTTGAATAAGGCTTAAGTTCCAAGGTCTATTTGTCAACAACAGGAGAGAACTATTTCCTGAGTTGTTCCTGAGTTATGAAAAGACTTTTCAGCACCTTTGCTATTTTCAGGAAAGGTCTAGAATTTCTATTTAATCAAAACATTTTGGTGGTAATGAATTCATTTACAAGTAGTAGAAAGGTTCTTAACCAACTTTTAATTGCTTGTTATAAGAAGCTCAAGCATCCATAAGGTATATAAGCAATATATAAAAGCAAACCAACCTAGTGGCGGTATTTGATTTTATGTTGTTACCTCTAGGGGACATTGCATATTCCAATGTCTACTATCAAATTGAGCAAACACCATGATGAAGCCACTGAAGTATTTGGGGTTTTTTAGAAGACTTTTACCTGTAGTAGATTAAAAATAGACAGATATTTAGAATTTTTGTTTGTGATCATGGTAGCAGTAATCTTAGAACTGATAATGTCTATCACTAGTAAGGCAATTAATATCTTTATGATTGACACAAAGACAAAACATTGATGTAGAAATTACTTAAATATTTTCTCTGTTCTGCTGTTGTTACTGCAAAAATTGGGATTTCTCAGTTAACATCGATTATATTTAAAACCTATATTACACTGTTTTTGCTACTCTTTATAATTAGCAATTCATAGTTGTTTCACTGTTATATATCACAATCCACTTAGGAGCCTCTGGAGAGTGCCTCACCATGTGATTCTATGCTCTTCATGTAAACACGTGGGTCTCAAGAGGTTCGTGTTTAAATGTCAGGAGCAACATTTTCAACTGGGCTTATAAAGAAATTATGAAGCAATGGCATAACAAAGACAGATCATCTAAATCCTGTTCCATAGTCTTAGAATTTATTTTGAAACCATTTCTGGGTTCTGGGAACAACTTCTGAGCATTCCAGTCAGAACTATTAAAAACCAGTAGTTGACAAAAAGTTATGAAAAGTATAAAATAAAGAAAAAAGAAAGAAATAAGAAAAAAGAGGAAGGGAATGAAAACAGGTCACTCCAATTTTTTTTTAAAAAACTTCTGACCAACCTAGAGTTCTGGAGAGACTTTAGATAAGCACTTTTTAAAATTTGGGGGGAATTGTGGAAAGATGCAGAAAGGCGATTGATTTGCACATTAATTACTCTTGTCGACTCAAATAGTTTCCAAACACATAGTAGAAAAAATATAAAATAGAAATGGAATGCCTTTGTTTTTCTGCATCTTAAATACTTCTTAATCCTTCCCATTCCTTGTTAACAAAATAACAACAGTCACTCCTGGTCCCACCTGTTTTGAACCCTTCTCACTTACCATCAAAATGTTTTGGTGATTATCTACTCTTATTGATAAATACCACTGCTAGGCTGTTTTTTTGCAGAAGTTGATGTAATCCAAGCAAAATATTTCTTGGAACAAGATCGTAGGGCATGTTTTCTTCAGATCATAAGTTACACTAAATATGGCAGATTGACTGAAACCGATTAAAAAAAGTTCCATGAGATTATTATTTCACCATGTAATAGTTAAGCAATTCATTCTGACTGTTAATTTTCAGACATCATATCAGCAGTTAGTTTCAATGATTAGTTTAAAAAATATACTTTGAGCATTTAGCTTCAGCGTTTGTTTTAGACTCACCTAAATTATCCATTTCATAATTTAAAGATAGTAAATGTAGAGTCAGTAGAATTTCTTGGTTATTTCTTCTGAACAAAAAGACCTGTATGGCCATTATTGTTATGCAAATTGTTGAACTGAATGGCTATGGTGGCAAGACTATATGAGAGAAGTAGAAAACAAAACTAAATAAATAAGTATGTGTACATTTTCAAAATTAAGAACTTAATGGGATAAAGGATTTCTTAGTTTTGAAAATATGCACATTTTCCAGGGAATTTTATAGACTTTTCTTTTCTTTTCTAGCAAAACAATCTACATGGTCAAAGTTTTTGAGTCTGCTGCATCTCTGCAACAGTCCTTGGAATGACCATGCAATAGTGTGATTAGCATGGATACGTGATTAATAATTTTGTCTTCTGTACAACACACACAAAACTGTATGTTTTTACTGGGTTTAGTAAAAAGAAGGAAATCTATTCTTTCTAGTGGCTACATTCATGTGTGGTGTAATCAATAATATGGTTTGTTTGAATTAGTGCTGTGTGAACCTCTGTTGTGCTGTACAAACTATGGTTTATTACAGAAGTAGGCAACTTATACAAATTAATACCTTAACTGCTTGTTATTTCAAGGATGGGAATATGTAAAATCTCTGTGTGTGATCATCTTATGCACAATTTATTGAGTGAAATTAATAGTCTGAGTTCTCACAATACACCAAACTATAAACATCTAGAATAGACAACATTAAAAATATACCCCTAGGTCCAGTTTCACAAATAATGGCCTCAATGCTACTCACTTTGACTCATCATCATCATCACCATCATCACCAACACTACCATGCTTAATATGGGGCTTCTCTCTCCCCCCCCCCATCAGCTCAGTATTCAGTGGACTAAAGCAAAATGCAAATAAAGTAGATCTTATTTTCAGATAGCAAGCACAATTAGTTTTTTTATTTCCTGTTGCCATTCAGTAAGGGCAACGGAAGGTGCTCAGGTTTCATGACCCTGCCCTTACTTCTGTCCCACCTACAAACAGTCCTCCATTTAAAGTCTTTCCCATTCTGGCTGTAGGAAAGTTAACTGCAGGAAGATGGTAAGTGGAGCTGCAGAGGGCTGGAGAGAGCAGAGAAGGCAGACTAGGGGTTGTGACTGAGTCAAAATTACCCACATCTAGTTGTTTGGGAGAGTAGAAAGTACGAGTGGCTCTTATGGAATGTGGATAACTGTTTTTGCTCTAAGTATTAGAGCATAAAAGTGAGAGATGCCTTTCTTGTTTCAGAAGGAGGGAGAGACTGAGCAATTAAGGCAAAGAAAAAGAAAAGGCTCAAGAATCTATAGAATGTGAAATAGAAAAGCTAGAGAGTATGAAAGGAGAAAAAAACCCATTAAGGTAGCAAAAGACAAAGAAAGAAAGCTAGAATCAAATGTAAACTGTTACAAGAATCTAAAGATAGAGGGGGCTTTGGACTTCCAGATTGGAGACTTTATTATCAAACAGCTATTCTGCTTTGGCTCAAAGAATGGATTGTACTGAGAAATAAAAGATTGCTTTATTTAGAGGGACATGATCTTCAACTAGGTTGGCAAGCTTTTATATGGTATGAGAAAACTAAAGCGCATAAATACTTTCAAAATCATGCCATAAGAAACGTACTACTTTCAGAATGGGAGAAAGTCAGACATAAAATATATATGAAAATACCTGAGTGGCTTTCAACAATGGAAGCATTTGTTTACCCAAATCTGATTAACTATGATAAACTGGTTAGTTATAAAGATATTTTGGACAAAGAGGGAAAACTTAAAGACAGGCAAATTGTTCAACAACAAGGTATTGACTTAACATGGTGGTCCTATTTACAAATTCAAACAAGATATGAAAAAGATATAAATCAACAGGATTTTGTAAAGAACAGACTCCATTAGATAAAATTTTGTTAAAAACAGATGAGAATTTGATTAAGAAACTCTATAAATTTCTTTTAAACTGGAAGATGGAAGAAGAACAAGTGAAAGAAATAATGATAATATGGGCAAAGAAATTTGGATATTCTATAGATTTAGAAGACTGGCAAAAACTTTGGGATAAAAATATTAAGCTTACAAAAACTGTAGCATATAAAGAAAACTTATACAAGATGTTTTACAGATGGCATATGACACCAGTTTGCTTAACAAAAAATGTTTAAAAATGTTTCGAATACTTGTTGGAAATGTAAACAACAGCCAGGCACTTATTACCATGCCTGGTGGATATGCCCTAATGCTAAGAAATATTGGTCTAAGACCCATAGATAATTGGAAAAGATGATGAAAATACAGATAGAATTTAAACCAGAATTGTTTTTTGTTAGGAATATTAAGACCTAATTACGATAAAGAGAATGACTACTTGATACTGCATGTTTTAACAGCTGCAAGGATAGTATTTGCCCAATTTTGGAAAAATGAGAATCTACCATCTGACCAGGCTATAATTACTAAAATGTTAGAGTGTGCAGAAATTGATAAATTAACATTGGAGATGAAAGAAAAAGATGATTTATTTTAAAACTTGGGAAAAATTCTATCAATGGTTAGAGACCCGTTAGAATCTGAAAAGGACTTAATATTTCAGAATAGATGATTGATCTTTAACTGAGTTATAATCTATAGGTTGATAACATCTTTACTTTTAGTGATTTAGTGATTTCTAACCGCTAATGTTGATAGTCATGAATTGTTCAGATTTTATTATTCATGTTTATTTAAATAGATGAATTTATTTGTTTATTAATTGTTAGTAATATGGTTATAGTTAATTTTATTTTAAAAATGGTTGAGTATGGTATTTACTTACTATTATGATCCAGACGGTAGCTTGTTTGTTAAAATATGTGATTGTACCTATCCTTATTCCATCCTAAATCCCCTATCTCCTTTCCCCCATCCCCTTCCCCTCCCACACCCGTATTGTTCCTATTTTTTCCTTATTCATATAAACTCAATAAAATATTTTTTTTTAAAAAAAGGTAGCAAAAGACAATCTTTTGTCACATGGACCAATTTGGAATGCTGAAAACATGTGATGGACACACTTGCAAAATGGCCGGCTTGGCAATCTCCTCTATGTACACAGTGATGGCCTTGTGGGCAAGACGAATCCCAATACAATCCATGCGTGAGAAGGCAAAACTGGCCTTCCAGGACTTCTAGGCATTTTCATAGAGTCCAAAAGCAGTATTTACTCAGTTCGATGGGCCAGACATATTACTTATTTAGTTACTTCCACTCCTTCCATTCAGGAACTCCTAATGGCTCAACTAATACCCATTTCCTCGTTTTTTTTAACAGTCTTGGCAGGAATCTTGAGGTGAGAGGGGCTCACTGATTGAAAATCACCCAGTGATTATATATTTACTACTTTTTGGTTTCAATTATAGTGGTGTTTATTATTAATGTTATATTTTGTTATATGATACATGTTATAAGTTAATATTATATATAAATTCCCTCCTTAAAGACCAGTCTGCTTTCATCTCTTATAGATTCTGTTTGTATCTATAAGTCAAATACCAAATTTGGATCGATAATAATAATGATAAAGTTGGAAGGGACCTTGGAGGTCATCTAGTCCAATCCCCTGCTCAGGCAGGAAAACCCTACACCATTTCAGACAAATGGCTGTCCAGTCTCTTCTTAAAAACTTCCAGTGTTGGAGCATTCACTGCTTCTGGAGGAAGGTTGTTCCATTGGTTAATTGTTCTAACTGTCAGGAAGTTTCTCCTTAGTTCTAGATTGCTTCTCTCCTTGATTAGTTTCCATCTGTTGCTTCTTGTCCTGCCTTCAGGTGCTTTGGAGAATAGCTTGACTCCCTCTTCTTTATGGCAGCCCCTGAGATATTGGAACACTGCTATCATGTCCCCCCTCGTCTTTCTCTTCGTTAAACTAGACATACCCAATTCCAGCAACCGTTCCTTCTATGTTTTAGCCTCCAGTCCCCTAATCATCTTTATTGCTCTTCTCTGTACTCTTTCTAGAGTCTCAGCATCTTTTTTACATCGTGGTGACCAAAATCTGTTCTGTTACACATTTTTGTTACTCTTAGTGTGTGAAATTTGCACATTCTGGTTTCTTGCTATAAGCCATAAATCTCTAAGTTGCTAATTGTAGAGGCCAGTTTGGTATATTGGTTAAGACACCAGACTGGGGACTGACTGGTGCTCTAGTCATGTCTTAGGTACAAAGCCAACTGAGCCAATCCCTCTATCTCAGCTCTAGGCAGAAGGAGACAGTGACAAACCATTTCTGAAATCTTACCAAGGAAACTGCAGGACCAAATCCAGGCAGTTCCCTGGAATTAAGACTGAGGCAAAGATATACAGTATATAAAAAAGAATTGAAATGAGGGTGGTACTGTGGATACATTATAAATAATTTCTGGTTTCTAGGATGCTGCAATTTCTGAAGACATTTCTGTTTCAAGAATCCGACTGGTTTCCATGGATCTCTCTGCCAGGACCACTCTTCTCTTTACCATCTTGTGCTGCCTGTGGAATATTGAAGCCCGAGAATATACAATGGCTCTCAGTGTGCCAAATGGGGGTAACCGGGGTGACTGGGGCCAAACTACATTTTGCGAGAGAGGCTATGCTCATGGCTTCTCCCTGAAGGTAAAAGTTTATTTTTCAGATGCTCCCTTGCTTTTGAATATTCCTTTGAAATTAGTCCTTCAGTTTTTCATTATCTTTCAAGAAAAGCAATCAAGAAGTAATTGCATTGATAGTTAGTCCTCTTTAATTCTATAATTAAAGAAAGCCATTGAGTTTAGTGTAGAATATTGTGTGGAAGATCTAATCTTGATGCAAGATTGATCCATTGTCCAATATTTATGGCTAAATGTTGAGATTTCTGAGAATTGAAGTCTGAAAGAGAGCAAGGGAAGAAAGGCTGATCTAGAACTTTATCAGGGTCACATTTTCTTAGGTGGAAAAAAAGCAAGGGGCAGGTGATGATACAGCTCTGAATGGAATCCGCTTGTTCTGTACCGATGGCACAACAATTGAGTCTAAAGTTGGACCGTGAGTAAATGACTTTCTGATCCTATTTCATTTTCTTGTCATGAAGAATGGGAGAGGAGATGACTGGTGCTTAATTCACTGCTACCCAGCCCTGAAAGTCAACTTTGAATAATGATTCACCTCTTCACTATTGGGGAATTAATTCATTCAAGGGTATTAAAGGAAGAGGTCTTCTTTTCAGGGGGAATAGTGCTTACAATATTGGAAAACAATTTGTGGAATGAGTAGCCCCTGTTGTAATGGATTCTGAACATGACATGGATTAAGAGAAGTCTTGGGAAAGAGATAAAGTATTCTTTATCCCATTTTTCCTAGAGGTTTATGTCAGCAGCCACAAGACCCTTTCCCTCCAATTATGTTTTCTACAATAGTCAAAAGAGTTCATTTGAATGTCAACTATTATTGACAGAATTATTTAATGAATGTTGATAACCAAGCCCAGGATTTTAGCCATTATGCCTGAATCTCTTGGACTGATGTCAAGTGATTAATTTAGACACTTATCCATCTTTGTCTTTTTGGCAGGTGGGGAACCTGGACAAAAAAACAATTCTGCTACACAGGCTACCTGAGTTCTTTTTCTCTGAGAGTGGAACCACAACATGGAGAGGGTGATGATACAGCAGCCAACAATATTCAGTTCACCTGCAGTGATGGTGCTGGCCTGAAGGGCCTTGGCACAACATGGGGTGAATTTGGTCCATGGAGCCAGCGCTGCCTCAAAGGTGGCATATGTGGGATGAGAACAAGGGTGGAGGATGCACAGGGCATTGGTGATGACACAGCACTCAATGATGTGCATTTTTTCTGCTGTTAATGGTTGATACATGTTTTCTCATCTATCAATATATTTTTGCTATGTATCGTCAAAGACTGTTAATTATGGTTAAATATTAACGAGAATAAAGATTGTATTTGGGGAAAACGTGCAAGGTAATCACCCTCAGGTGTTACCTCTTCAGACAGTCCAGATTGGAGAGGGCTAAGGAAGGTAGCAGATACCTCAAGCATTGCAAGTGTGATTGACTGTTTCCGTTCTCATCGTTTTGAACCAAGGCAGAGTAACATACTATAATATCATGTTTCTGATTGCTTGCATGCAAATAAAATTATGATGCATCTTTAAAATCATTGGTTTCCTTCATTGAGCCAGGTATGGGCCACAATAATACATATGTATTTCTTTCAGTTTATTTATTCTTGTACTCTGCATTTCATTACAGAGAATACAGAAATATTAGAGAAAACAAGCTATAACAAGGCCAGAATTGTTAAGAACCAAGAAGAATTGATGCTAAGAAGGCTTTTGATTTTTAAATTGATCATTAAATTGAAAATGAAACTATTGGTCCCATATTTACAGCCAAATCTTTGAAGCTGAATTTCAGAACGGTTATGTTGTACATTGTTAAGTCTCAGAAATTAGTAAGAAATGAACTACATGTTACTCATGCTATTTCTGCTTCTTGATGAAGTAAAGATTATTGATCTTAACTCACTTTGAAATGAGAAATGACTTTTTTTTTTTTTGAAAAGATGTGGAAACTGGGCAGAATTTCAAGAATGCCCCAGAGGCAACTTCATTTCGTTTGGTCTCAACATGGTAGAACATAAAGAAGAAGAACACTTGATGAAAGAGCAGCAAAAAATGATACACCTGTAAAACAATTGAAAAGCCTTGGACTGGGTCAAGATCAGAAGTCATAATCCCTCTTCATGGTCTGTTGGTTCTGGCCACTCCAAGATTATTGCATTTAATTCTGAGCACTGCATTTTTGGAAGCACGTTGATGAACTGAATGTACAGAAGAAAGCAATTACCAGGTTAACAGACTTCAAGAAAATAGATATGAGGAATGGCTGGAGTCACTGAATATGTTTAGTTTATAAAAGAGAATATTATGGGACAACATGATAATTGCCCTGAAGTATTTGAACGGGTGAAATGCAGAAAAGGGGGAAGGCTTGTGGGTTTCATTCTATAAGAGGATACAAGAAATAATGAGTTTAAATTATGAACAATGTCAAATGAAACAGTAATGGGCCATTTTGCTTGAGAGATTGTAGACTCTTTCACTTAAACAGAGTTTGGATGGCCAGCTGCCCTAGGTACTAGGTTGACCCAGGCTTGGAACTGAATTAGATGTCCTGCAAGAGCCCTTCTACGTTTTTAGATACTCTTGAATATCTATAGGAGACATTGCATATTCCCATGTCTACTTTCAAACTGAACAAACACCATGATGAAGCCACGGAAGTATTTGAGGTTTTTTAGAAGACTTTTACCTGTAGTAGATTAAAAATAGACAGATATTTAGAATTTTTGTTTGTGATCGTCATAGCAGTAATCTTAGAACTGATAATGTCTGTCACTAGTAAGGCAATTGATATCTTTATGATTGACACAAAGACAAAACATTGATGTAGAAATTACTTAAATATTTTCTCTGTTCTGCTGTTGTTACTGCAAAAATTGGGATTTCTCAGTTAACATCGATTATATTTAAAACTATATTACACTGTTTTTGCTACTCTTTATAATTAGCAATTCATAGTTGTTTCACTGTTATATATCACAGTCCACTTAGGAGCCTCTGGAGAGTGCCTCACCATGTGATCCTATGCTCTTCATGTAAACAACTGGGTCTCAAGAGGTTCGTGTTTAAATGTCAGGAGCAACATTTTCAACTTGGCCTATAAACAAATTATGAAGTAATGGCATAACAAAGACAGATCATTTAAACCCTGTTCTATAGTCTTATAATTTATTTTGAAACCATTTCTAGGTTCTGGGAGCAACCTCTGAGAATTCTAGTCAGAACTATTAAAAACCAGTAGTTTCTGCCATTTTTGAGGACAAAAAGTCATAAAAGTATAAAATAAGAGAGAAAAAAGAAGGATATAAGAAAAAAGAGGAAGGGAATGAAAACAGGTCACTCCAATTTTTTTTTTTTTTAAATGCGACTAACCCAGAGTTCTGGAGAGACTTTTGATGAGCACCTCCAAGGTACATTCCAACTTATTATTATTATTGTTATCATCATCATCATCATCATCATCATCATCATCATCATCATCATCATCATTATTATTATTATTTACTGATAAAAAAAGTTGGATAAAAATTGACATCATAGTCTGGAGAGGGAGGAGATAATGGCTGAGGAAACATCTGGTGATGCCCATAAAAGTCTATGAACTAAGATAGGTACTCTAATGACTGACTTTTGATCGAAATAAAAGATGCAGAAAAACGATTGATTTGCACATTAATTACTCTTGTCATCTCAAATAGTTTCCAAACACATAGTAGAAAAAATATAAAACAATAGAAATGGAATGCCTTTGTTTTTCTGCATCTTAAATACTTCTTAATCCTTCCCATTCCTTGTTAACAAAATAACAACAGTCACTCCTGGTCCCACCTGTTTTGAACCCTTCTCACTTGCCATCAAAATGTTTTGGTGATTATCTACTCTTATTGATAAATACCACTGCTAGGCTGTTTTTTGCAGAAGTTGATGTAATCCAAACAAAATATTTCTTGGAACAAGACCTTAGGGCATGTTCTCTTCAGATCATAAGTTATACTAGATCTGACATATTGACTGAAACCAATTAAAAAAAGTTCCATGAGATTATTATTTCACCATGTAATAGTTAAGCAATTCATTCTGACTGTTAATTTTCAGACATCATATCAGCAGTTAGTTTCAATGATTAGCTTAAAAAATATACTTGGAGCATTTAGCTTTAGCATTTGTTTTAGATTCACCTAAATTATCCATTTCATAATGTAAAGATAGTAAATGTAGAGTCAGTAGAATTTCTTGGTTATTTCTTCTGAAGAAAAAGACCTGTATGGCCATTATTGTTACGCAAAATGTTGAACTGTGAATGGCTATGGTGGCAAGACTATATAAGAGAAGTAGAAAACAAAACTAAATAAATAAGTATGTGTACATTTTCAAAATTAAGAACTTAATGGGATAAAGAATTTCTTAGTTTTGAAAATATGCACATTTTCTAGGGCATTTTATAGACTTTTTTTTTCTTTTCTAGCAAAACAATCTACATAGTCAAAGTTGTTGAGTCTGCTGCATCTCTGCAACAGTCCTTGGAATGACCATGCAATAGTGTGATTAGCATGGATACGTGATTAATAATTTTGTCTTCTGTACAACACACACAAAACTGTGTTTTTACTGGGTTTAGTAAAAAGAACGAAATCTATTCTATCTAGTGGCTGCATTCATACGTGGTGTAATCAATAATATGGTTTGTTTGAATTAGTGCTGTGTGAACCTCTGTTGTGCTGTACAAACTATGGCTTATTGCAGAAGTAGGCAACTTATACAAATTAATACCTTAACTGCTTGTTATTTGAAGGATGGAAATATGTAAAATCTCAATTTATTGAGTGAAATTAATAGTCTGAGTTCTCACAATACACCAAACTATAAACATCTAGAATAGACAACATTAAAAAAAAATACCCCTAGGTCCTCTTTCACAAATAATGGCCACAATGCTACTCACTTTGCCTCATCATCATCATCACCATTATCACCAACACTACCATGCTTAATATGGGGCTTGTCTCTCTCCCTCCCCATCAGCTCAGTATTCAGTGGACTAAAGCAAAATGCAAATAAACTAGATGTTATTTTCAGATAGCAAGCACAATTAGTTTTTTTATTTCCTGTCGCCATCCAGTGAAGGCAATGGAAGGTGCTCAGGTTTCATGACTCTGCCCTTACTTCTGTCCTGCCTACAAACAGCCCTCCATTTAAAGTCTTTCCCATTCCGGCTGTAGGAAAGTTAACTGCAGGAAGACGGTAAGTGGAGCTGCAGAGGGCTGGAGAGAGCAGAGAAGGCAGACCAGGGGTTGTGACTGAGTCAAAATTACCCACATCTAGTTGTCTGGGAGAGTAGAAAGTACGAGTGGCTCTTATGGAATGTGGATAACTGTTTTTGCTCTAAGTATTAGAGCATAAAGGTGAGAGATGCCTTTCTTGTTTCAGAAGGAGGGAGAGACTGAGCAATTAAGGCAAAGAAAAAGAAAAAGCTAAAGAATCTATAGAATGTGAAATAGAAAAGCTAGAGAGTATGAAAGGAGAAAAAAACCCATTAAGGTAGCAAAAGACAATCTTTTGTCACATGGACCAATTTGGAATGCTGAAAACATGTGATGGACACACTTGCAAAATGGCCGGCTTGGCAATCTCCTCTATGTACACAGTGATGGCCTTGTGGGCAAGACGAATCCCAATACAATCCATGCGTGAGAAGGCAAAACTGGCCTTCCAGGACTTCTAGGCATTTTCATAGAGTCCAAAAGCAGTATTTACTCAGTTCGATGGGCCAGACATATTACTTATTTAGTTACTTCCACTCCTTCCATTCAGGAACTCCTAATGGCTCAACTAATACCCCTTTCCTTGTTTTTTTTAACAGTCTTGGCAGGAATCTTGAGGTGAGAGGGGCTCACTGACTGAAAATCACCCAGTGATTATATATTTACTACTTTTTGGTTTTAATTATTATTAATGCTATCTTTTGTTATAGGATGCATGTTATAAGTTAGTATTATATATAAATTCCCTCCTTAAAGACCAGTCTGCTTTCATCTATCATTCCAAAGTTAGATTCTGTTTATATCTATAAGTCAAATATCAAATTTGGATCTGTTCTTTACACATTTTTGTTACTCTTAGTGTGTGAAATTTCCACTTTCTGGTTTCTTGCTATAAGCCATAAATCTCTAAGTTGCTAATTGTAGAGGCCAGTTTGGTATATTGGTTAAGACACCAGACTGGGGACTGACTGGTGCTCTAGTCATGTCTTAGGTGCAAAGCCAACTGGGCCAATCCCTCTATCTCAGCTCTAGGCAGAAGGAGACAGTGACAAACCATTTCTGAAATCTTACCAAAGAAACTGCAGGACCAAATCCAGGCAGTTCCCCGGAATTAAGACTGAGGCAAAGATATATAAAAAAGAATTGAAATACTGTGGGTACTTTATAAATGATTCCTGGTTTCTAGGATGCTGCAATTTCTGAAGACATTTCTGTTTCAAGAATCCGACTGGTTTCCATGGATCTCTCTGCCAGGACTACTCTTCTCTTTACTATCTCATGCTGCCTGTGGAATATTGAAGCCCGAGAGTATACACTTGCTCTCAGTGTGCCAAATGGGGGTAACTGGGGTGACTGGGGCCAAAGTAGATTTTGCGAGAAAGGTTATGCTCATGGCTTCTCCCTGAAGGTAAAAGTTTATTTTTCAGATACTCCCTTGCTTCTGAATATTCCTTTGAAATTAGTCCTTCAACTTTTCATTATCTTTCAAGAAGAGCAATCAAGAAGTAATTGCATTGATGCCATTTCTATAATTAAAGAAAGGCATTGGGTTTGGTGTGGAATATTGTTCGACAGATCTAATCTTGACCCAAGACTGATCCATTGTCCATTATTCATGGCTAAATTTTGAGATTTCTGAGAGTTGAAGTCTGAAGGACAGCAAGGGGATAAAGGCTGATCTAGAACTTTATCAGGGTCACATTTTCTTAGGTGGAAGAAAAGCAAGGGACAGGTGATGATACAGCTCTGAATGGAATCCGCTTGATCTGTACCGATGGCACAAAAATTGAGTCTAAAGTTGGACCGTGAGTAACTGACTTTCTGATCCTATTTCATTTTCTTGTCATGAAGAATGGGAGAGGAGATGACTGGTGCTTAGTTCACTGCTACCCAGCCCTGAAAGTCAACTTTGAATAATGATTCACCTCTTCACTATTGGGGAATCAATTCATTCAAGGGTATTAAAAGGAAGAGGTATTCTTTTCAGGGGGAGTAGTGCTTACAATATTGGAAGACAATTTGTGGAATGATTAGCCCCTGTTGTAATGGAGTCTGAACATGACATGGATTAGGAGAAGTCTTGGGAAAGAAATAAAGTATTCTTTATCCTATTTTTCCTAGAGGTTTATGCCAGCAGCCACAAAACCCTTTTCCTCCAATTATGTTTTCTACAATAGTTGAAAGAGTTCATTTGAATGTCAACTATTATTGACAGAATTATTTAATGAATGTTGATAACCAAGCCCAGGATTTTAGTCATTATGCCTGAATCTCTTGGAGTGATGTCAAGTGTTTAATTTAGAAACTTATCCATCTTTGTCTTTTTTGGCAGGTGGGGAACCTGGACCAAAGAACAATTCTGCTACACAGGCTACCTGACTTCTTTTTCTCTGAGAGTGGAACCACCACAAAAAGAGGGTGATGATACAGCAGCCAACAATATTCAGTTCACCTGCAGTGATGGTGCTAGCCTGATGGGCCTTGGCATGACATGGGGTGAATTTGGCGCATGGAGCCAGCGCTGCATCAGAGGCACATGTGGTATGAGAACAAGGGTGGAGGATGCACAGGGCATTGGTGATGACACAGCACTCAATGATGTGCATTTTTTCTGCTGTTAACAGTTGATACATGTTTTCTTATGTATCAATATGCTTTCGTTATGTACTGTCAAAGACTGTTAATTATTGTTAAATATTAACTTGAGAATAAAGAGTGTGTGGTCATGCAAGGTAACCACCCCCAGGAGTTACCTCCAGATTGGAGAGACCTAAGGAAGGTAGCAGAAACCTCAAGCATTGCAAGTGTGATTGACTGTTTCCCTTCTCATCATTTTGATCCAAGGCAGAGTAAAATACTGTAATATCAGGTTTCTGATTGCTTGCATGCAAATAAAATTATGTTGCATCTTTAAAGTCATTAGTTTCCTTCAATGAGCCAGGTATGGGCCACAATAATGCATATGTATTTCTTTCAGTTTATTTATTCTTGTACTCTGCATTTCATTACAGAGAATACAGAAATATTAGAGAAAATAAGCTATAACCAGGCCAGGATTGGTTAAGAACCAAGAGAATTGATGCTAAGAATGTTTTTGATTTTTTTATGAAATATTGAAGATGAGCTACAAGAGAGTTGTAGGTAAAGCCTACAAATAATCACTTAACCCAAATATCACTTTTCTGTTCTTTAAATTGGGGAATGTTTAAAGAAGCGGCAATTGATATATAAACACAGAGGAGTATGCAACCACTGTGTCTGAATATATTCAAAAGTGTGCTGAGGATGTCTGTGTCCTTAAAAAAACATTGTTGTGAGGGCTAATTAAAAATTATGGTTGACTTATGAGGTTCAGAAGATGTTGAAAGCACAGAATGTGGCTTTTAAATCTGCAATATGCTTGCACATAGAATAGCCAGGGGCTAATTTGAAAAACGCCATAAAAAGAGCAAAGCAAGCCTATTGTCAGAAAGTTCAGAACTTTTTTCAGGACTCAACAAACACCAGGCATATGTGGCAAAGAATTCAGGCCATCACAGACTATAAGGTGGCTCCATTGAGATACAAGGGCTACACAGACTTCTTCAATGAGCTGAACACATTTTTTGGGAAGATTCAAGGTATCAAACCTGTGCCCCATCCTGATGAGCAAATGCTTAGCTTTGATGTTACCTCTGTTCGGAAAACATTGCAGAAAATTAACATTCGGAAGGCAGCAGGCCCTGGGTGGAGTTCTTAGGGAATGTGAAGAGGAGCTGGCTTGTGTTCTTACAGATATTTTCAATCATTCATTGCAGCAGGCAGTGATCCCATTGTGTTTTAAGATGGCCATTATTTTGCCAGTGCCAAAAAGTCTACAATTATGGGTCTCAACGATTACTGACCAGTTGCATTTACATCTATTGTTATTAAATGCTTTGAGAGGCTGATAAAGGACATTATTGTATCTAGCCTCCCACCAGCATTTGACTTGCTTCAGTTTGCTTACCATCCAAATCGCTCTACAGAGAATGCTATTTCTTTTGTTCTCCATCTGAGCTTGGAGCACTTAGAGGAAAGAAATACTCATGTGTGAATGCTGTTTGTTGACTTCAGATCAGCATTTAATACAATCATTCCTCAAAATCTGGGCCTTTTAGGCTTTAATACTGCTTTGTGCAACTGGATTCTTGATTTTCTTATTGACAGGCCCCAGAACATGTGAGTTGGGACTAATATTTCTAACACCATTTTCTTCAGCACAGATTCTCCTTAGGGCTGTATCCTAAGTGTGCTGCTGTTCACCCTATTGACCCATGACTGTTGTGCAAGGTTTGCCCCTACCATATTGTGAAGTATGTGGATGATACAACAGTAGTGGGCCTTATTGAAGATGACAATGTGTGTGCTTATCGCAAGGAGCTAGAGGGTTGTGAACTGGGTAAGAAAAACAGCCTAGTTATAAACATTGGAAAAACTAAAGACATCATTTTCAATTTCAGAAAAGGTAGGCACAGTCACGCTCCTTTGTGTATTAATGATTCACCTGTGGAGATAGTTAGCAGCATCAAATTTCTGGGTGTGCAGCTAATGAATAGGCTGTTGGTTGCTCAAGAGCAAGACACTGGTGAAGCTGGCACAGCAGTGCCTGCATTTTCTGTGTCACATGAGAAAAGTACATCTTTCCTTTCCTTGTCCTTACCACTTTCTACAGAGGGATGATTGAGAGCATCCTATCATATTGCATTACAGTCTGGTTTGGAAGCATCACTGCTTCTGACAGGAAGGCAATGCAAAGAGTGATGAGGATGGTAGAAAAGATTATTGGCAGTTCATTCGCTTCTATCCAGGACATGGCATATAAGCGTTGCTAGAGCAGGGTCTGCAGGATTGTCTGGGACACTACATTTCCTCTTCAAGGCCTGTTTTCCTTGTTACCTTCTGGGAGGAGACTTCATGGTATCCGAAGCAGAACATCCAGATTCAGCCACCGTTTTGTTCCATACAGTATTAACCTTGTGAACTCTCAAGCTTCCTCTTTCCACTAGGTATTCAAGATAGACAGTGATTAACATTTATATGTATTTATATGTAAGGGCGTAGGTATATACACGTTGTATATAGCATGTTTATATGTGTGTTATGTATGTGTACACTTTTAGAGCAGGCAACAGAATTTCATTTTTAATGTGTGCCAGTGTGCCCACAATAAAAATGACAATAAAAGTTAACTTATATCTTGTCTTGTCCTGTCCTGTCCTATCTTATCCTACCTTACCTTACCTTATCTCTTACATAAAAGAATCTCTCTTCCAGTCTCATTTTTCATTTGCTCTGAATTTTTTATTTATGTGTTTATTTATTTGATTTCTACTTCATCCCAACCTAATCAGGCTCTTGGTTGCCTACAAATAAACAAAAACCCAGTCTGTGATAAAGAAAAGTGTAGCTAAAATCCCTAAACACAAATAACAAAACAATATGTTGCACTGACCCAAACACTCTCCATAACTGGTCTATTCTGAGCTTTTTGAAGATAGCTGAGAGTTGATGTGATCTTAAACAATACTGGTAGGCCTTTCCAGAGTTCTGGAACTGAAAAGCAATCCCTGTGAATGTCAGCCTCCTTGAATTTCTCAAAATGGGGAACCATCAGCTTCTTATTTCAAGATGGCCACAAGGCAGATTTCAGTAGGGAGATATGTCATTTGCTAATTGGTATTAATAGCAGACCAACAATAAAGCAATATACAATATCCCCAATCAAGGAACTGCCAACTCAGGCAAACAATGAAGCAGAAAGCAGCAGCCTAATCAAGGAACTACCAAGAAGAAAACTACACTCCCACCAAATGTCTGTAGCGCTACCCCCGAAAAGCCGCTGGAGTTCAGGTTCTCATGGCCCTCTTGGTAAGGCTGCCAGTCCACAGTAGTCCCTCACTTAGGCACCTCTGCTTGGTGGGACCATTTGATGAGGTGGTGGTCAGTCTCTCTCAGCAGACAAGTCATGTGATGGGGTGATGGTCAGTCTCTCTTAGCGGGCAGGACATGTGCAGGAAAATTATTCAGGTGGCTGGTCAGCTCTTCTTCTTCTTCTTCTTCTTCTTCTTCTTCTTCTTCTTCTTCTTCTTCTTCTTCTTCTTCTTCTTCTTCTTCTTCTTCTTCTTCTTCTTCTTCTTCTTCTTCTTCTTCTTCTTTCACTCTCTCTGTCTGTCTGTCTCTCTCTCTCTGGCTTGCCCCACAGAAGCCTCTCCTCTTCTAGCCTCTTCACTCCCTCAGGGTTGCCTCACAGAACCCTCTCATGTTCTATCCCCTTCTCTCCCTCAGGCCTGCCCCACAGAAGTCTCTCATGTCCTATCCCCTTCTTTCCCTCAGGCCTACCTCCTCAAAGCCTCTCCTATTCTTCCTTATTGTCTCCTCTCCCAGGCTCAACCCCCACCACTTAGGCCTCAGCAGAGCCTCCATTCCCCTCTGGCCTCTCCCTGACTCTTACCCCAGGATCTCCCAGCACTGTCTCTTCAGCTCACCCTACTCCCACTACATGTCTATGGAGATTCTCAATCATCCAGATCATGGTTGTCTCAAAGGTGCTTTTTGATCTGGTCAACTATATTATGAAAAAAAAAACAGCTGATGAATTTAGGACAGGTTTAAGCAATATTCAACAATAGTTATTAAACTGTTAATACTACACCCTACAGCTGCAGAAAACCTCTGTAAATGATTTCATCAAGACATAAAACAGCATATGGGATAGATTGGAACTCTGTGGATATTATACAAGTAGTCCTTGACTTATGATCACAAATGAGAGAACATCTGTCACTAAGCAATGGGGTTTTAAAGAGAATCCTAAGTGATTTTACAATCTTTCTTGCTATGGTTGCTGTTTACTTGTTAAAAGACCCATAGGAAGTGACCCCCAAGATACTGAAATTTTCTTAAATATTTACCAGTTGGTTATTCACTAATTAAGGACTACCTAGAAATCTTAGTGTTAAACTATAGATGACAGGTACATCCAGATCTTAATGACAAGACTGGAATCACTGCAAAACAGTACATAAGTCTTGCAGTAACATTTTTTCTTCATTCTTATGTCATCCATCAAGGCTATCAAAGTTTCAGTACCATATTCCAACTGTTTGAAAGGGATAAAATAATCAATACAATACAGATGTATCAGCATGTTATTCAGTGGTTGAACAGTGCTAATGTGATTCCTTGAATAATAAACAGATAAACAAACATCTCTTCATGTAGAGTTTTGTGTTCCTTTCAAGTTAACACTTTATGGATTGGGAAAGAAAGCATAACAACTAATTACTAGTTCTGATATCAATATTTCCTTGGTTTGTGCTTCATTTTCATTTATACTTACTTTGGTAACTTAAAATACCACTGAGAATGGCAATAGATGCATCCTCATTCAGATATAGGCCTCTTGCCTTCACATGTGCAGTTATACCCAGAAAAGCTTACATACATTCTGATCATTAAATTGAAAATAAAGTATTGGATAAATATTTACAGCCAAATCTTTGAAGCTGAGCTTCAGAACGGTTATGTTGTGCATTGTTAAGCCTTAGAGATTAGTAACTACATGTTACTCATGCTATTTCTGCTTCTTGATGATGTAAAGATTACTGATCTTAACTCGCTTTGAAATTAGAAATGACTTTTTTGAAAAGATGTGGAAACTGGGCAAAATTTCAAGAATGCCCCAGAGGCAACTTCATTTAGTTTGGTTTCAACATGGTAGAACATAAAGAAGAAGAACACTTGATGAAAGAGTAACTAAAAATGATACACATGTAAAACAATTGAAAAGCCTTGGACTGGGTCAAGATCAGAAGTCATAATCCCTCTTTATGATCTGTTGGTTCTGGCCACTCCAAGAATATTACATTCAGTTCTGAGCACTACATTTTTGGAA